CTCAATGGCTAAGTGTTGGATATCAGGAAAAACTTCACTTAGGACAATGATGCAATGAAACAGACTGCATAGGGATGGTACAGAATCTCCATTACTGGAGGTTTTTTCAAAAAGAAGTTGGGTAACCATCAGACAGGGAACGATCTAGGAGTAGCTATGTCTGGAGTATGCTGTAAAGAACAACATATGTAAGCCCAGGAACCACCTACACATGAATTACTGGGAGATCATGAGAGGATCTCTGCAGCACAGAGCAGGGGGATACTGGAGAGGACCATGCTCAACAGCAGAAGAATAAAGCAGAGCTCCACAGCTGGGTTAGCTATGAAAGAAGAAAAACACTCCTGAAATAAACTTATGGAGTGGATACAGAAAAGGGAGTTCTGGCTGTCCAGTTAGATGCTGTGATGTGTGGGACAGCAAGCATGACCACTAGGCTACAGAGCAAAATAGAGGATGTTTTGATTTTTCCCATATTTCTGGGAAAAATCAGAAAAATCAAAATCAATTTTTTTCCCACGTTTCTGGCAGGGATTTTTTTTTGCCTTCTTCAGAAACATTGGATGTTGGCTGCAGCCAAGGCTGGGAATTTTGACTGGGGTACATCAGTGTTTCTGCTAGGACTAAAACCTGGAGGTTCCTGGTTAGAGGGTCTTGCCCTTACTATCAGGGTCAGATCAGTTGCCACATTTGGGATTAGGAACAAATTATACCTTGTGGTCTGATGCATGTAGAGTGGGGTTTTTTTGCCTTCCTCTGTAGCCAGGGGCACGGCCATCCTTTTTGGATTTCTTGAGTGCCTTTTAATAAACCTTGCTGCAGCTAGGCATTGACGGCCCTCGTTCCCCAGTTTTAAATGTGGTAGGTTAGTGGTTTTGGACAATATGCCTTGTAGTTGTGTGAGAGGGTTGTTTATGTAGGTTTAAGAATAGGTTAGACAAGTATTTATATGAAATTGTTTAGATGGGGATGATCCTGCCGTGAGCTGGAGGTCACTTAGTCCACCCTGCCTGAGGTCCCTTCCAGCTTTTTTTTTCTATGATTCTATGAAATTCTGTTCTCTTCTTGTAAGCAACCCTGAGCCTTTGTTGGGAAGGGTGGCATATACACTGAGGGTGTGTCTATATGTGCATTTTACTACAGTGAAGTATCAGCATCTACATGTGCCCCACAATTAGGGCACAGTTGATTAATTTACTCCAGCGTAGGATAGTCCCGTCAGACACAGGTACTATCCGACACCAGAGTAAATTACTGTGCTTAAACGCATATGTAGACAGTGATGTTGGGATTAGTTTACTCTGATTCAGATTATGCCAGTGTTTATTCAGTCACATTAATTGTATGTGTAGACATGCCCTGAAATAAATAAATAAATAAATGTTTTGTCATCAAGACAAAGCAGCATTTCTGGATCTAGATGACTGACTGGTCAAAGGAAACTTGTTTCTTCATCTTTTTCTCATTTTAAGCCAACAATAAAGAATAAAAACTAATTTTAACACCAGCCTACAGTATAGAATTTATCTGGGTAATCTGCACTTTAGGACAGAACAAATCTACAGTAAAAGCTTTGTTATCTGGTACCCATGGGGAATGGGGTGTGCTGGATAACAAAATATGCTGGTTAATTAAGAGGCCTGAACAGGCACTTTTGCCTGTTCAGGCTGCCGCTTCTCCTGCCACGTTTGAGCTGTCACTGCCTCTCCCGTGGTATTGCTGACCCTCCTGCCACATCGCCGACCCTCCCGCGGGCCCTGAGGGACAGGGAGGTGGGCCCTGTGCAGCCTGCTTTGCCCCAGGCCATGGGGGCTCAGAGAAACCAGAAGTGCCACAGTGGGTACTTCTAATTTCACTTTACCTTACAAGCCGGTATGCTGGTTAATACAACATGCCAGCTTGAAGGTGCTGGTTAATGGAGCTTTTACTGTACTTATCTTTTGAAAGCTTGTAATTAGGTCTACTCTGATCAATCCATTTCATCTGAATCCTTGACCTCTGATAAGACTGTATCTGTCTTGTGGGTCTACTTGAAATCTTGCACTTATATGAAATTGTACTGAAAGCTCCACCTATGGATGCAAGCATGGTTAAAAAAAGCTTACACCATAAGTGAGCACAGTCTAGGTAAGTAGTTCTCAACTTTTTTAGACTCAGGACACCCTACATTAGCCCATCGTCTCGGTTGCTCTGTTTTGAGGAATTGTTATCTTCTAGTTGCTCCTCCACCTCTTGTAAATACTCTGTAGGGTGGCAGCTCTTAACCTGTTTAGACTCCAGACATCACTTTGGAAAATGGTAGCTCTTTGCTCTCATTTGCCTTTTTTACTACAGAAAATAAATAGAGCAATTCTTCTGTTGCAAAGAACTCAGAAAGAATGGTTTTGATATTATGGATTTTTATTTAAAACTAACAAATGGCCCATCAAGAATGATGGTGGGGGGTGGAGCACCACCATCCATCACCCTGTGCCGCCACCCCCCCCCCCGCTCTGCGCCTGGCCCCTCCCCCCCAACTCCACGTCTGGCCCTGCGCCTCCCAGGGAAGGTGGGGAAGTTTGCTCACCATCACCCACCACCCTGCATTGCTGCCGCTCCACATCCAGCCCCGCTTTGTCCCTGTAGCAGTGGCAGCGTGGGGCAGTGGGTGGTGGTGACAGCAGCCATGTGCAAGCTTCCCTGTCTGTGGGGGAGGGGAGCAGGGGGGGGAAACTTGCAT